CATTTTTTTCAAAGAGAAATGACCACTTAGATAAAAAAAATACAAAAATAAATAAAAGGTTGTTATTTTCTAGCACCCATTTTTTTCAAAGAGAAATGGCCACTTAGATAAATAAAAAGGTTATTTTGTTCTGTGAATGTATATCTAGTCTTTGGCTGTAATACGTAGGTGACTCTCCATTAGCACGAGCTCACTATTCAGTACAATTGGTGTACCACCCTCTCGAGGAAACAACAAACCATAGTTTTGAGTGAATGAAAATATTCACAAAATATTTTTACTTTTCTAACATCCCCGTGAATATTATAATTGCGAATTATCTTGTGACGTATAAAACTAGTAAGTAACCATAGTAACAACGAATAAGTGGTTATTGTCTATAAATTTATTTGACTTTTGTTAAGGAAAGAAACTACCATTTTAAACTGGTAACTTTGCTTCTGATATCATCTAAAAAAATATGAAAACTTGGTGGGCTTGAAGATGTATTTATAACAATAATGTCAAGTTCAGTTTCATATTCCTAAAGATTACCCGGACTATGTAGTCGATGGTTCATAGTTCTCGTCCTGTTACCGAAAAAAAAAAAAACGCTACCGCATTTTGATATTATGAAGAAAAAGTTATAACTATTTAGAAAGGCGCCCTGAACTTTGGGGAATTAGGATTCACCGTAAGAGTGACGGTCAGATAAAAGTATTCCAAGATTTGGAAGTGGGTAGTACTGACAAGCTGCCTGCCCTCTAGTTTATCAGATAAAAATTAGGCACGACTCTGGTAGATAAATTTCTTGGTTGCTATGTCCCAAAAAAAAAAATAGTAGGGCATGCACAACCTTGCAACATGCATTCCTAAAACTCGCCATATCCATACCGTATATGATTATATGGATTTTTCAAATTTCAAAGAATAACTTAAATATACTTCTTGATAAACTGACAACTATCATTACAGTTATTTTTTTTTTTATGTTTATACGTTTTTCTTTATTTTTGTTTTTAGTTTATCGGTTTCAACTTAACATTTATCTACTCGGTCAACGGAATTGTTAAAACATATACAATTAAAAATAATAACCTGTTTTTGGTTTATGCGATAGACATGTTATTTCGGACTGGTCTACATTAAATCAAAAATTATTTATTATTATACCAGCGTAGGGTTTATACTCAAAATTCGGGCGTTAGACTTCATCCAGAAGGACCGTGACTGTAACCCTTGCTCTAACCTTTTATATAAGCTGATGTTTTACAAATTGATAGATATTAAGAATCAAGTTTCTAATTAAAATACAATGAAACTTAATAAACTACGCGTTTCGTTTTGAATCATGCCAGATATTAAGAGTATTATGTCCAAGTAGCTTTACGGTGAATTTGCAAATGGAACTAGAAAGTTTGTACTTGCACTGGGGTTATTTTCAATTATTATTTTTACCCATGACTATTACATTCAGTAAATATTACACTTCGACAAATGCTTTGTTGACATCATGAATTTGTAGTCGTATAGACATCCAATCACGACATTCTAACTAGTTACTTAATTATTTAAACCTTAAATCAAACTCTTGCGATAAGATACATTTCTAATGTTATATTTTAGACTGTTTAGGCTCGACGGAGCTGCAGGTCGTAATGATGATGATGTTAAGATAGACCTAGAACCTCTGGAAAATTCTAAATGATTTGGTGTCAGTTTTCTAGTAAATTCGAGTGTAGGTTATATGGGGTTCAGTGAAGCTTCAAAACTAAAGTTAAAAAAATATATAAAGTTGTTTTTATTCGGTGGATTGAATCGGCAATTGTGTTTTTGCGAAGTATTTGGATCTGTGTTTGCTGTTGCGCATATTGGCTTAAAGTAAATTGAGTCTTTACGTAAGTGTGGTGCAGTTAGCGTTATTTGTAACCGTGGCCTAGAAGTATCACTCTGCTTGAGCTTTTAGTAACGTTAAATGAGGAAATAAAGTAATTTATCATCGTTATGTGGATTTAAACGTTGAATTAATTACACAAGATAATTTATAGAAACTTACCAGTGAAGGAACAGTGTTACAACACCTTAATGTACAATTGTATCTTGTTATAATTATTCACAGAAATACAACTTAAACTGTTGTGCAAACCCTAACAATGAAGTGCTGTAGTTGTGGGAAAGCAGGGCACAATGGTTATTAGTCATCTGTGTGTGTGTGTATATATATATATATTCTTATTGAAATGAGTTTAGTGAAATATTTAATATAATGTATTCTGATGCTTGTAGAAAGATTGAGCAAAAATAACGTTAAACAAAGTGTACATTCCAATATTTCTTGGTTAATCAGATGTTGTAAGGTTACTTGTTGTTTTAGTCTCTTGGTTAATCGGATGTTGTAAGGTTACTTGTTGTTTTAGTCTCTTGGTTAATCGGATGTTGTAAGGTTACTTGTTCTTGTCTTCAGCTTGTGCTGATTTCTCGACCTTTTGTTTAGGAAGTTCTTTCTTTCCTTAGGGCCTAATATCGCCATTTTGATGATCATCAGTGGTAAAATAATGAAAAAGTTACTGAAACTTGGCCTAAAAACAATAATATATTTTGTCCTGATTACGATTCTGTATCACGTTTTCACAAACTGGAATCTGGCCGCCATAATTGAAAATCAGAAAGTTGAAAAAAGTAAAACGAATTTACTGTCTTTGAAACCACGGATTGCAACAGTGAGAAACGGAAATGCGGATGCTACTCTGGTGGCCGTAAAGGGCGTTAACTCAAGTGTCGACTCGAATACGTCATCATTCTCAAATCTCCCAGTGAGTTTGAAATCGCCAAAGTTTGTGAAGAGTAAAGAATCGAACATAAAATTTACGGGAAATAACGGTACTTCAAAGACGGCAAGTAAAACCAGGTGTAGCGGAAAAACCCGAAACCTTTACTGTGTAATGGAAACTTTCTATGAAGCAGAGAAAAAGACTGGTTTTAATAGCAGCGTAACCCTAACCACCCAGGCCACAACAGGTTTCGAGCACCACGTCGAAGAGCTCTGTCGCCGATGGCAAGGGCCTGTTTCGGTCGCTCTCTATTCTCCGGGTGAGGACTTTCGATCAGCCAGAGAAAACGTAGAATATCTCAGACGATGCCGTGATGCGTGTGTACGGGAGTGGGTCACGTGGCATCTTTTTTATGATTGGTCCCATCCACCAGACGATTCTTTACTAAAGACACCAGGCGATTTTAAAGATGACAATTGCAGTTCTAAACCTTCGTCGAAATCCATAAGTTACGTCAGAAAGAAGAACCTTCCATACCCAATTAACGTAGCTCGTAACGTCGCCAGACTGGCCGCTAAAACTCAATACGTCCTCGCCTCTGACGTTGAACTTTACCCCAGCGAAAACATTATTCCTCGGTTTCTTAACCTTATCGAAGATTTAAAGAACAAAACCACGAACTTCTCAACAAAGAGACAGGTATTCGTGCTACCAGTTTTTGAAGTAAAGTTGGAGACACAACCACCAATTAACAAGAAAGAGTTGAGAAGCCTGATGGCAAAGAAAATAGCTGTATCTTTTCATAAATACGCTTGTGACACGTGCCATAGAATTCCAAAGCTACAAAGTTGGTTAAAAGCTCGAAGCCCGCCAACAAAGTTGAATATTTTCCTCACAACTAAGAGAGAAAATAGAGGGAATACTGGCGGGTGGGAGCCTTTTTTCATAGGAACCAACGAGGACCCGCTGTTTGATGAGGGACTGACGTGGAACGGGAAGCTGAATAAAATGCAAATCGTAAGTAACCATGTTGTTTAGTTGTATTCGAATCTTGTCAAGACTAGCTAAGCTTTGATTATCGTTTGGAACTAATAAACTAATTGCTCGTTTATTTTTAACTCGGGCAGTTGCTGTTAGCGCGTGTTGTACTTCGAAAACTTAGGCCAAACGGTTCCGAAACGAATCGCTACTTCGTAAACGCGGGAGCGAGACATGCTTTCGGCTACCCCCTTCCCCCTCGTCGCCTAAGATTCCTTCTCAAACCTCTCTTAATTAAAATGTAACTAATGATAATGAACAAAGCAAACGTACTGCATCCACACTGTGGTGTTATTTGGTTTTAGAAGAGAGGGATCATCGTGATCTCTCGAGAAAGAACGACTACTCGGTGACCTTGTGATTTAAAACTATTTAATTAGAAATCTAGATAACCATTGCCTAAGAGCTAAAGGTGAAAGTTGATGTTATATAAAGTTTCATATTACACGTGATTACAATTTGTAACTGAAAGGTTTGGTATTATATTCGAATTGAAATAATACAAAATGGTAAAATTATTTACATTTGATGAATGGGCGTTTTCACTTTCCACGTAGTGAGGTTTGGCACACACCCGCGACCCCCACTGTTATACCACTGTGTGTGTATATATATACAAAACATATCATCATTACATACAAGTCACTAGGTAGCGCTGCACGCAATTAACAAATCAAGCGTCACTAATTTGTTGTAAAATTAACGTCTAACAATGTTTGAATAAATTGTACAGGCGAAACGCTCCGGATTGTATTTTAGTACGACCAGAGATCGTGGTCGTACGAGTAATTAGGTGAAGTCGAAGTACGGTTGCGTACAAATACCCACTGTTTTTTGTTTTTTTTTTAAATATACGGTTTAATAGCTGGTAATAATGAATAATTAAGTTTGGCAAAAGAAGGGTCAACATTTGTTATAATTAAATACCGGTCGTAAAGGCTGCCTTCTCTAACGTCCGTTAAATATCAAAATAAAAGCGATTATTTACAGAAGTGTGTTTCGTTCTAGCGGACAGCATTAGTTAAAACTTTAATGTAGACTTGTTGCTCACGTTAGTACTGAACAATCTACTCTGTGGGAAATGTATATATCTGTCACTATGGGAACCGTCCGCGTTCAACATTTCATGCACTGAAGGCAAGTGGTGACTGTTACCATAGAGCCAAGTTGTTTGTTAACATGAGGGAACTTGGCACGTGTCTAAAACTTAGTTAATATGTAAAATAATTATCTTTTTATTCAAAACATTCAAGTTCTTCCACGCGCCCCTAGTGGCATAGCGGGATTTTCTTCCCCGCCGTTATCAAACACTAAAGTTGTAGGTTGATATTGAAACTCATTAATAGTAGGCCTAGCATGGATAAGGCTATCGAATTGCGAGTTCGAATCCCATCACCGAACATGCTCTCCCTTTCAGCCGTGGGGACGTTATAATGTGATTGTTGATCCAAGAGTTGGACGGTGTTGTTGACTAGATTACTTCCCATTAGTTTATCAATTTAAAATTATGGACGTCTAACTCGGATAGTCCTCGTTAGGATAGGGTTGACATGATTAAAAGTTGTCATGGTTATAAAAAAACAAACAAAATGGGAGAATTGTTGGTTTACAAGAGTGTTGTGTGTGAAAAATAGATGATGGTATGAACTGTTTGTTTATAACACTACCAAGTGTGTTATGTATTAACACGATGAAGTTTAATTGTAATACAGTTATATTACAACCACTTCAATATAACTACATGTTTTTAAAACTAAACAGTAATTAGAAAACTTAGTTATTAGTCTGTGATAAAGGAAAGTTTGTTTTGGTAGACAATTTATGAAGTTTCCCTTCATCATTTTGTACCTGCCACATGAAGTAAAATGTTAACTTTTTTTAAACGATATTTTGCGAGTATTTCTGAAATGTTTGATAATTTGTTCATTTAAAATATTCGTACCTTAGGTGTGAAAAGAAGGTGGTGCAAAAAAACAACAACACAAAAGACTGAGCGTGGGACTTAAAGGAATTAAATCAAAATTGGTAGCTGCACTTATCATGGCCGTAACCAGAGATATAAATTTACCGGGGCAAAGAATGACAATGAGCTGTTTTTTTATGTGGTGTGCTGTAACCCCCCCCCAATTCTCTGCAATTCTCAAAGGGTTTTTGGTTTGTTCAATTTACACTCTACCCACAGGGGGTTGTGTTCAAGTATACCAACAGGTCAGGTGTACATTTAATGCCAGTTGAATGAATCAATATATACATGTATACCAGATTTTGGAGAGAAAAACAAATCGTTCAGAAAAATCTACAGGGGCAGTTGCCCCCATAGCTGGTTACGGCCATGCTTATAGCATTGATAAGAATTTTACAACAAATATTCATTCATTAGTTAGCCAGGCCGCGTTTTTTGTTCAACTTTGGGCAGGATGGAGGGTAAAACAAAAAACGCGGCCTGGCTAACTAATGAATGAATATTTGTTGTAAAATTCTTATCAATGCTATAAGCATGGCCGTAACCAACTATGGGAGCAACTGCCCCTGAAGATTTTTCTTAACGATTTGATTTTCT